CCCCAAAACCCCAAAACCCCAAAACCCCTTGCATTAAAATATTGACTTATAATGCTAAAAGTGAATTAATAATTTACATCCATCGATATTAATATTATATTTCCTCAGTGCTATGCTTCTCAGAGTTTAGATGTCTCTGCTTTTCCTTCTTCCTTTCTTTTATTGAACTCCCTGATTCTTTCTTTCAATTCATCACTAGTGAATCCAGGATCCTGCTTTGCCATGATTTCAGCTTTTGACCTGCTATAGGATAGCATGTATACAAAATGATAAGGAACCCAAATTAAAATGGCCGACAGAATCACTGTATTGATAAAAGCTTGCCAGTGATATGATAGATTTAGATACCATCTCCAGGGTCTCTCTAAGAACCTAAATCTCACAACATCTGAATTGTTTAATGGCCTAATAGTTTGAATTAAATAAGCCTTACATTGGTTTTCTTCTGGAGACTACTTTTGTCACAGGAAACACTTATCTTGCTATTTTGTCTTTGTAATTCATTGAAATGTTCGAATTATACAATTATTAATAAAATTCATTTGATAAATATAATGAAACTAAATCGACAAATTCCCCAAAAAATGAGTGCAAATCCTACAAAAGCAAGGATTTCAGATCCTGTTTAAGGGGGTGGCAGAAAAAAACTGTCAAAGCTCCCTGAAAAGGAGGACGATCATCTCAATAAGATTACGAAAAATAAAATGCAAGTATTTTCCTAAACATCTACAAATTATCTCAGCGATAAATCTGAAACGTAATATATATGCAAAAAACATCCAAAGAACATATAGGTAATCAATCGGGATAAGAACATAGCTGGGATTTCATAAGGACTTAAGTCATCTTGAGATTTTCAAAAATATCAACGACAAGCTCAAAGATCTGAACAGTTTCGTTGAAACATTAAAGTTAGAGAGTCAAGAGGTAGACTTGGTGTAATTACTCAAATAAAATTCCAACAATGATTCCAATTCATAAGGAACAGTGAATATAAAAAGATATAAGGATGCAATCTACATTGGGCAACTAAATCCAGAGTAAAAAAGACATGGTTTTGGCGTTATGCTCTATACCAGTGGAAGGAGATTTGAGGGTTAATGGGAAAATGATCTCAGATGTATAAGAGGATACGAGCGACATTCAAATGGTAATATTTACCAGGGTGAATTCAGGGAAGGTAAAGCAAATGGACATGGGATCTAGACGTGGGCAAATGGAGAAAAATATGATGGCCAATGGGAGATGGGAGCTAGGAGCGGAAATGGAATTTGGTCAGGCATGGAAAATAGCAACACTTATATCGGGAAATGGAACAGAAATAAAGCGGAAGGATATGGAACTTATACTTGGCCAAATGGTATCAAAATAATTATTTAACACTATTTGATTAGGTGATAGATATGATGGTGAATGGTCATAGAACATGAAGAATGGAAAAGGAGCAGACTTTTTCAACAATGGCGATACCTTTGTGGGATACTACAAAGATGGAAAACCTCATGGCAAGGGGATATACACTTGGATGAATGGGAGTTAATACGATGGAGACTTTGTGGATGGATTAAAGCATGGAGTCGGAGTATGGAAGAAAAACAAGGATGACATAACAGGACACAGATTTGAAGGTGAATACTAATATGACAGGAAGCATGGATATGGGGAGTTTTATTGGTAATCTGGAAATATTTATAAGGGTAGTTACTAAAACGATGAAAGAGACGGGTATGGTGAAATGTATTTCACAGATGGTACAACTTACAAGGGAGATTGGACAAAGGGGCTACAAAATGGAAAAGGAACTTTAATCAATCCTGATAACACTTTTGTTGAAGGACACTTCCACAATAATATTTTTTACGGATAAAACAGTCCTGTCTCTTCTGCTCACTCAATTAACTTTTAATAATCTCCGAATCAGCAGCAGAGATAGTTAAGAGCATCACTATCTTCAAACTTCTCCTAAGGATCTTTGATAAGCAGAGGGTCACTCCAAAATAAGAAATAATAGCTATAGGATTATGATCATTAAAGCGAAGACATATCCCCATTCCAAAGTCCTCATTTAATACAAAAAGTTAATCAATCACAAGATAGTGCCGAGATAATGAAATTCAAAAAGTAACGAATGCAATCTCGAGAAATTCAACGCAGTACAAATTACAGTTCTATAGAACCAATAGATGAGGAGAGCTTGCCAACAATGAGAAAGAACAGGTCAGACGCTTAATTGCCTAAAATATTAGTAAGAAATGCAACCTAGTCAAGACTCTAAAGTTCATAGATATTAGTAAACAAGCAGCATTCTCTTTAATAATCCAATCTCTAGTTTAACAACAACTTGCAATCTTAAAAGTAATCCTTTATGACTCCTTAAGGAGCAATGCTTCTAAAGAGCAGCTCATCACTGCCTCAGTCAATGACAGAGATGTCCACTTAATATACATAGAAAAGCTCCAAATATATAGATCAATAACAGTAAGCCATGCCTGGATATCAGAATAAATTTTACAGCGGTAATTTGAAAAATATAGCCAAGAGATGATTAATAAAGCAAGTGTTCTTTCAATAAGTTATATAGTTTAATAGTAATTCCTAATAATTAGGCTTAGAATAATCCATTAAAATCAATAAACTTTACAGCACATTAAATAACTCTTTTCTACAATTTATATGATCTAATGGGGTTTTGGGGTTTTGGGGTTTTGGGG